TCAACCCCTGATAAAACTCTTAATGTTTGCAACTGGGCTGAAATAAATGAATACAATAATACACTTATGCTCTCAAGAAAATAAGACACTATGGAATATTACACTTTATACATATGCTATGTTTTTTCAGGCTACTGTGTACCTGTGCCAACGCCAATGTGTAGACAGTCTCAACCCCCCCACCCCACTGTGTAGAATGGCTTATAAACCCTTGGCACCAAACCACAAACGACCAAGTGGAAAAGCCCACACAAACATTGGAGTGACAAGCTCTTGGCTGACATATAGTCCCCCAATCAGTAAAATATGCATGACTTAAGGCGTGCATGAAAACGCCTTTATGCTACATGTCAATGAACCTGTTCAAAAATGGACGTGGACTACATCAACCCCCCAGGGAAGATGCTAAGCGAGTCGAACAGCAGCGAGGCAATTAACATTCACATTCGGCAGCTCTCTCTCCTCAGATTTTATGAGGGTCAATTTGGAGTTTCATGGCATTTTAATATCAACAGGCAACAGGCCGAGTGGAAAGAATGACAAGGAGGCCACGGCACAAGCACACACACGCAAACACACACACACACACACATACAGTGCAATACACAGCATATACAGTAAATGTGTTAGACCGTCTGTATATACGTTTCGGAGCATCAGTGCATGTTTGTGTCTACAAAACCTTTCACGTGTGTGTTATACTATATGTGTGTATCCAGTCACAACAGCGAGGGAGCGTCTGTGGGTCTCCCCGGCCCCGGGCTCAATGAAAAATGGGAGAAAGCTGGACATTTTGATAAGTGAGCTAAGCAAGAAAGTGAGCTCAATAAAAGCTGTTTAATTTAGCTCTGTCAACATGGCACATGGCCGAGAAAGAGAGACGGGGAGAGAAGCGGAGAGACGGAGCACTGATGAATGGCCTACAATCCGGGGCCCTTCCTGTCTCTCTTTACCTCCCAGAATAAAATGTTTCTCTCTTCATTGCTAATTATATTTCTGCTTTTCCTCAACTGCCTCACCCCCTCACCCTCCCTCCGACCCCGCACAACCTGTGCTTCTGCTGGAGAGCGGCCCAAAGCTGCATATTAAAGTGTCACATTTGACACCAATCTTAATAAAGCAAAATGTACTAAGCTAGGTGTGTGTGCGTACCTGATATCCAACACAGTATAAATACAGTCTCAACACTGCAGCGATGACCCAGTCTTGATGGCGTGTGCACACCTACTTATGTACACAAACATCTGATTTTGTGTCCTTAACCCCCTTGTCTCTTATTGTCCTCCAACACAGTATATCTGCTTATTTCCCTCTTATCTATTTATTTAGCATATCACAGTGAAGGCGCCGAGCTGCTTTGCAAACAGCATTGCTGAACGAGATAAGGGGAAGAATATTTCGTCCTCGTTGGCACAACAAGCCTAGGTTTGTTCAAACAGGTCTCACCGTCTTGCTGTCTGTGCACCTTGTGCAGAAATGTGCAAATGTAAAGATTATGTTTCATGCCGCAGCTACATATGTTCTTATGAGAATGAGAGAATAAGCAGTTCACTCTCGAGTGAACTACACGAAAGCAGTTCTGCTATAGAGACAGTTCAATGCAAGCAAATCTATGGACCTCTCTCAGTCTTCCTCTTTTAATCCCACCAGTCTCAGTCTCCTCCTCCACATTCCACTTGAGGATGACAGAGGAAAGAGCTGAGCAAAGCGTTCACCTTTTGAACCTTTCTAGCGGTGATTGTGCAGACTGGGGAGGAGGGAGGGAGAGAGTCAGGGAGGGCCGAGAGCAGGAACTATGAAACCCAACCCTTGTTGGGGGGACGCCAGGCCGGAAGGATTGTGTGTCTCTTAAATCTGCCAGGGAGGGAGGGCCTCCAGGTTAAAATGTTTTTTTTAATGCTCCATAGATTCAACTCTACAACACATATCGGAGACATGTGATGTGCCACTAAAAATAAAAAAGTGACACAGGAGAAATATGTCGGCATCGAATACATATTTTTACATCGAATAAAATAATTTACATTTTACTTTATATGCTACAAAAAAACATTTTTTTATCCTTGACTAAGCCTTGCATGTGTAACTCTTAGTGCACTAAGGTTATTTGTTTTATAGATCATCTTGAATTAAGTGTTTCCTGGTTACATTCTTGCAGCATACTGGCCAAACCAGTAGCCATTGGTTTTAACGATATATGGCTGATGTTGGTGTAGTTGTCAATGTTAGGATTGTGTCTGTTGGCACAGGCTCAGCTGCATGCGGGCAATTTCCTAAATGTTGTTCATGTGTGTATTCATCCGAATGTCTATGTGGCCCAAGGGGTGTACATATGCTGTCACTGCATTGTGTGTGTGTGTGTGTGTGTGTGTGTGTGTGTGTGTGTGTGTGTGTGTGTGCGCAGAGGGCCCCGGACAGCTGTTGCAGAGTGTGCATAAACACCTTGTTAGGGCTTAGCTAGCTAAGTGTTAATTGGGGTGGAAAGACTCGATGAGCTGCTCTGCCATCCCATGTGACTTACCCCGTCGCTGCAGTGGAAAACAGAGAGTGCAATCCGAGGAAACTACACACATGCACGCACAAATGGGGATACACATGCACGCACACACAGACAAGTGCTACTACTACTCTGCCTCGTGTCCCATGATTCATTCTCTGCTCCTGCTTATCCCAAGTTGTTCTCATCCTCAGTTTTTTTTTCTCCCATCTTTCACTCGCTCCTTCCACTCTTTCCATTCCTCTGGAGCTCCTCTACTAGTGCATCATCATTCACTCCTCTACTTCCTTTGCCCTCACCTCCTTCTTCATAACCTCTCCCTCTTCTTCCCTCATCTTCATCCCCTTCACAAAGATTTCGTATTTTTCTCTTTCTCTGCTCCCTAAACTGTTCCATCTCCTCCCCTTATCCTCAAACAATAAATACCGACAATCCCTGTGGTGACTTAGTCACTAATTCCCTTGTCCAGTTTGTGACGAAAGCAGAAATGTGTTAGTGGTAAAAATATGACACGCTTTGCTCCAGGCGCTAGTCCCGTCCTTACCATGCCCATTGAGCGGCTGCCTAGTGGGGAGCTTGCCCTTGCGAGGCGTTGAGTGGCAGGAAGAGGAGGCCGAGGCTTGGCTGCTGCTTCCGCCGCCGCTGTGAGAGTGGATACCACCGCCGTTCTTCACCTCCTCCTCCTCTTCCTCCTCCTCTTCCTCCAGGTCGTCCTCCTCCTGGGAGCTTCCAAAGTAGGCCATGTTATTGGGCAGGGCCGATGAACCTGAGTGCAGAGGTGGAGAAAAGCGGGAGGGGAAAGGGACAGGGAGGAAATGGGGGAGATGAATAATCATGAAGTGGGTTGGGGGAAGAGGAAGGATGGGGAAAGAAAAGGACAAAAAGACAAAGTTAAAACACAAATTCACCAAAGATTAAGTCATCATCAATGACTTTTACACAATGAACCTTTTCTGGGACCCCCGGTTGTTTGCATATGCAAAAGTAAAAACCACATGAATCCCTTTTTTATTTCAATCTGAGACATTACACTTCAACATGTACGTCTTGAAATATTCATGCAAAAATAGAAGTTGCTGAAGTGTTTACGAATAATGGTGATTGTGCACCTTTTTCTCATGTTATTATCCCAGTTGGTGGCCTACTGATGCTTTGTAAACTGCTCTGCACATCACAGCATCATTGACGCACTCACACACAATGTTAGAAAGATTTACAAAGCAACGCAGAATTTGTACTTTGTCTGAATCAGGCTAATCTTCCAACATGTCTTCAATATTACACAGAGCTTTTTTTTATTGTTTCTAATCCTGTTATCCCCTCATCCAGTCCCTTCTCCTGTTTTTGGTTTCTTTATTATTAGTAGCGCTGGTTCCACCTGTATCAGTGGTGATTGGGAAGTGGGGGGGTGACTCCGCAGCACATTCTGATAGGTAGAGCTGAAGCCAGAGCATTAGGAGTCATTCCACAGAGCTCTCCATGTTGACAGCTTTATTGAGACATATATATATAGTGTACATGTGCTCAAATATCAAACTGTTTCAGAGTTACACTTAAGAATCCAAAGAGTCTGACTCCCTCTTGCTGTTGAGCTAATCCCAAATCTGTCGCTTTCACTCTTCCTAAACAGGATTACTGTCAGTCTCTGCCCCTATTGGAGAAGAAAACGGATGTTCTCGCTCTTCCCTTTTTCTGCCGCACTCAATCACTTTCATTGTCATTGCTGGGAGATCCAGAGCGATACGTGCTGGGAGGAGGTGAATGGTGTTTGGCAGTGGATGGCCTATAATGTTACCTCAGTTAGCTGAATGTAGACACACGCTCTCGTAAAAGGTCATAAAGCCCAAAGCTGTGTTATTAAATCTCATAATGTTGCACCCGTAAATCAGCGTGCAAACAGCTGGTCCAGCCATGCAGATGCAGGAATATGAAAAACACTGAGGCGGCCTTGTGGAGAGCGGCAGTAGAGACTGGCACTAGGAAGCAGATTTATGTACAGTGGAGTCCAAAAGTCTGAGGCCACTTTCCCATCAGACTTTTGGACCCCAGTATTTACACATATACACATGGGCAGAGTCATATAAAGCTCCATGTTTTCTATTAAATTCTGTGTGCTTCCAAAAACACCATAAACTTTTCAGCAATGCTAATCTTTGCCACAAACACATTTAGAAAGAAAAGCAGCTTGTTACAAACACTGCATATTCTTTATCGTTGGCCATGTACCGCTGAGAAATAAATGAAGGGCATAAACTTTTCCTCAAAACAGAAATCTATGTGTTTGAGACATTGAGCGACTCATAAAAGGTCGGTACGGTCGTCAAAATAGAATGCAATTATTTTTAATTTGTACAATTAGGATTTGTAAATGTCTAACTGTGTGTTTGTGATCGTTAGTTTATAATTGAGTGTGTGGTTCTGCAACATCTTCATATCTTTGATTAAATCTGGCTGTTTATGAGGAGGAAACAGTGGATTTTATGAAGTTGTGAGACCTTTATGACTAAATCAGTTGCATGGCCTGAGCAACTACTGTGGTTTTTATGACCCTTTTAGGGGGGTACAGTGTTTAAAGGGCATTAATGAGAAGCAATGTGTGATTATATGTCAGTTACAATAACGTTAAGCTTCTGAAAAACAGGCTGAATTCAGTTAGCCTCCATGGAGCTTTACAGAGTATGTAAAATTACACAGAGTGAAATAAGAATTAGATGAGCCAATTATTTAATTAGTGCGCTGGATATGGGGGCTGCTGGATACTTATCTTAAGATTTTACACACTCAATAAATTATGAAGTACCCTAATTAAAATATAGAGATAACAAGTATGAGGACATCAAAATAATTTAATTTTTGACTTACACAAGGTATATTCATGATTGCAACACAATTAGCAGCCAAACTACACAAGTAATTCACAAGGTTTCTATTTGGACATTGAGTTTTGGATCAGGGGCAAGGAACCTTCAGCCTTAAGCCTACGAGACACATTAAGCCAGCTCTGGAGACAACTCATAAATACAAACAAAATGTCTTGTCAGCTATAAATTCTTTCAATGATCAATGAAGATGACATAAATCAGCAGATTAAAATGTCCTTCAGGGTGGTGTCTTCCAGCTGCAGGCCTGTCAGGTCACAGTAAGGGTTAACGAAAACACATTACATGTCATTGCTGACAAGAATCATGGCAATTGTCAAGAAAAGTGGATGCTGAATAAATAAAAGACAAGCCTGTGATGAAAAGGGCCAATCTGGAGCATCACTACAGCCAGAAACATCCTCAACTGGATGAGATGAAGGGACAAACATATGAAGATGAAAAGAGTTAACATTGAGTCCAAAGTTAATATTGCAGAACCACCGCAGAGCAGATTATTGTTATGGCACAGAGGCTCGAACTGAACTAGCCATTACTTCTGAGTTTGATCGAAGAGTAATCTGTGTTTGGCACTAATCAAAGGTTCATCAGCACTACCATCTGCCATCAGACGCCTCACCAAAGAGTTCCAGTCACTACATAACAGAGGTTAGTGTAATAAATATATTCAATAATAATTATGACCTGTGAAGGAAAGGGGAAGAAAAAGGTTCCGCGCACGTGTTTTATCGTAAAGAGAATACACCCATTCATTAGGCCACGAGTGACAATAATGCAGCCTTGCACTGAAGCGGCTGTGAGACAAATAACTGTTTAGGAACCAACCCTGTGTAATCAATATCGGTGCAATGTGAATAACAGACATTTGCAGTACAGAACTTGGCTTGGATATAATAAACCTGTGTGTGTGTGTGAGAGAGGATACTCTCAGCACCTAAATGACACCCTGACTAAGCCGGGGCCTTCTAATGATAAAGGAAGAAAGGATGCAAGGCTTAACTGCTGTTAACCAACACCCCACAGACAACACTGCTGTTTAATACTGAAACGCTGGACTTTAAATAGCCTCTACTGCTAAATACAATTTAAGAGAATACAGAGGTGCAAAGGCTGGAAAATCCCTGTTCTCTCTGCACCAACAAACTGTTGTTCATTATTGTGTTTAATGGCTTTCTACTTTTGAGATGAGAACATCAAACAATAAACAAATCGAAATCATCACTCCGAAATTCTTTTCTTTTCTAAAGAAAAAACTGCATCTTTGAACGTTTATTCATTTTCCTTTTCAAACTTGCATACAACTATTATTGGCCAGTCGTGGAACCTGTGGTAACCACATGTCACTTCACATTTATTTTGCAAGCTGAGCTTATAATATCATAGTCAAATAAAGGCTTTACAAACACTCAAAAGTAGAGCGTGGTTATAATAAATCTTGTTGTACCTTAGATCACACTTTTCACACAGCAGCTCTGCCAGTTTCTAATGTCTCCTCAGAGAGCGGGAGAGAGAGAAAAAATCTGTAGCTACAGCAGATTCCCTGAGCCGATAATAATAGAGTTTTACCTGCGCTCTTTAACTTCTAAAGGAGGTCTAGAGGGCAAGAAGTCGCCATTTAATACCTGTGAAATACGGCTTTTATATAGCCACTGTAACCCACATGGTCGGGGCTATTCCTCCGCAGGAAGAGAAAGATTCTCTCACTGCACCTGGCAAGTAAGTAGCTCTGACATCAGTCTTGTGCTGTTCTCAAATAGGAATCAGAAAAAGTGCACATGACAGCATCACTTTGAATCACTCTAATTTTCCGGTTTTCAGTGGATCAGGTCTTGAGGGGTGGGTGACACACACAAACCAGTTATGGGTTATGCATCCAGATTACCAGTACAGAGAGAGGGCTGGTGTCTGCCCAAAGGAGCAATTTTATGGCGCGTTCTTTCTGCAGAGAATGGTAAAAACTTGAAGGATTTTCTGACGGGCTAAGGATGCAACGTGATACTCCCAGTGTTCCTAATGGTCAGTCCGACTGTTACAGAAAGGTCTGTCGTCAATGTGCCAGTGAGAAAAGGAGAGACTAAGGAAATTGGTGATGAGCTGTGTGGAAATCACCTGAGATCTTTTATGGTATTTTGAAGTGCAGAAAATGTTGCTTCGTTGTAAAACTGTGGCCGGACAAATTGTGGTGGGCAACCACAGCCTAATTTGTCCCGATGTTTCATGCACCTAAAGATGAGCAAACACACCCACAAACACAGAGCAGAGACACCTCATTTATCTTTGGCAACAGTGCAAACACTCCTCTCTTAGACCAAACACACACACACACACACACACNACACACACACACACACACACACACACACACACTGGCCCAATCAGCATCTAATGACTCGCATCATTAGCTAAATGGCTGTAATTTACTGCCCTGAACAGGGGTCAGTGGGCAAATGGCAAACAGACCTCAGGGGTACCCTGGGGCAGAAAGGGAAGTAGATGTGTGTTATTTAGGGCTGCAGGAGCGTGGATATATGAGAAGGTACAAACACAGCAGAGGAAGTTATGTCCATCTAGGGGAAGGTTGGGGGTTTGGGATGAATGCGTTCAATATAAGGTCTTCAGACGTTTGGACAGAAAAGTATTCATACGGACCAAAAACTGAAAAGAGGAAGACGTGAGGTGAGCACAAATGTATCCAGCTACAAATTTTAAAACCTCCAGAATAAGACTGTCTTGGAGTCTGGAGAGGGCGAGAGAGGAGAACAGTGGGAGAGAGAGAGAGAGAGAGAGAGAGAGAGAGAGAGAGAGAGAGCGAGCGCAACCCTGTCCAACAGATCTATTGGTCCAATACTGCCTACAACAGGGGTGGCAGCGATACTTCTGGGGCCCA